GGGGGGGGGGGTGACCCAAATTGAAATCAAGACTGATGTCACTGAGATCTGTGTGGGCAGCTCATGTTTCTAAGCAGAGATGCTGGTACCATATCCAAATTTATGTCTTGCTTATTTCACAGAGAGCAGAGTAATGCAGTCCCTAAATTTCCTTCTGGATAAATAAAGTCTCTCTCTCTCTCCCTCTCTCCATCCATCCATCCATCCATCCATCCATCTAGTCCCTAGAGTGATTGACAGTTAAAGGCTTTGAGTATGGGCCCAACAGAAGAATCACTCTAGCGACCCTAGGATCTGAACTGGTGACCTTCTGATTACATCTGATTAGCATCTGCACCCTCTGAGCCTCACAACACCCACTGCACAGTATGCTTATTTATATAAGTAGTAAATAACAAAGGCACAAAGTGCTTTAACACCAGGCTCCAGTGCACTGTTCTCGCTTAACAAACTATAAGGTGGATGTGGGATTTAAACAGGTTCCTCTTCTCTTGGCTGACAGATTTGTGGCCTTGATGATTTCAGAACTGCGGCGATCTAATGCATCTCTGTAGACCCCGGGGCTGTGGTTTTCACGGGCATCCAGTGCCCGTTCAGGCTGAGACCCCAGCTGGTCTAAGGCAGTCCGCAAGGTCACCACACATCAATATCTTTCTCTTCTAGTGAGCTCGATAATGACCATAAAACATGTTCTGATTGCGGCTTAAAGACGATGAATTTCCTGGCCAGAACAGAGGCATCCTGAGATCTTTTTCATACTGTGGGTTTGGGTTATGCTCGTCTTTGAACAGTGCTGCTCCCCTCCCCTGGCGTAACACCCCGCATGCCTAAACCCCGGCAAACCCCAGAGCAAGAGCGAATCAGCAGAGTCCGTAAGCTCCCAGACGCCCGATTAACCTCACAGTCGGAAGAGGAATGCGAGCCAACGAGCATGTCGAGAACAGGTCTGCCCCCTACCTGCCTGGAGGCCTCGGCACAGCAATCTCGAGGACCGGCAGTGTTCAGCGTTTCACGTTAATGAGTTACACGTGCATGCTGGAGCGGCCAGCGTTCCCTGGCATCACGCGGCACATTCAGTCTGACTGAGGGGGCAATTACCATGCTAACACCTGCATAGAAACAGGTTGGCACACAATCTAAAAATGGAACACTGCCAAAAAAAAAAAAAAAAGCGATTTTGAGATGAGACATGCTAATTATTTTAGCTGCTTAATATCTGTCTGCATTCATAGTACTTTCATGGGTTGTGCAAGCTTCTGAAGTGCTCTTTTTTCAATGATAAAATTAGTAAACACACAAACAAGGTCAACAAGAACAAGTCGAGGCAGGCGGATGAGGAAAAAAAAGGCATATTTTGGGCCCACGCAGTCCCGATGTTGCCTTACCATCAATACCAGAGTAGCAATAATTGGGGAAATTAGGACCATGTGTGCAACCACAGAAAAAAAAAGGGGATTGCATTTGTTGCCAGTTCAAGGGGATAGCTTTTAACTGGTTTATGTGCCAGACACAAGTATTTCACAAACAAGAGGTTTTAGCAAAAAAAAAAGAGGTTTGGGAAAATGTCTGCCAGTTATATTTTGGTTAAAAATGGCTGGAACACCATGATGATAAAGACAACAGGTACATTCAAATAATGATGTTGCTGTGGAACATTAAAATGTATCCTGGCAACCTAGACACCCAAGAGAAAAAAAAAGGACAAAAATATCATTTCAAAGTCAAACTGTAATTAAAACCAATTAAGAACCGTGATCCTACCAACAAAGGCCTTGCTGGCAGGCTGTAGCCTTTCTCAGTAATGGGCCTGCTGACCACAATCTACTGAAAATGAGAACAGATAAAAAGCACTGAAAATCTACACATGTGAGCAGTAAAGAGTGCTCTTTCGAAGCGTGGTGTGAAAAATGCTAACCAAAAGTAACCAAGGTTCAGTAAGTAGGGCTCCATGCAAGTTGGATCAGACTATTCACCAAGTGAGCCTCATTCAGAGCCTCTGTCTGTCAATGGAGACTGAATTTTGTTTTTAATGCAGGTAGCAGAGATGATTCCTCATCACAGCACTCTAGCACAGCCATCTTGGTTCGTGATATTTATAAAGACATGACTGGTTTTACCAGAGACCTTAGGACTCACATCTATGATAAAGAAATCAGACCTTTTGATGATTGATCTTGACTGGAGAAGCCCTCAGAGAAAGCACTCTGACGTCCTTGAGATCCACCAGCGCGATAACCGTAATCGTACTGTAAATATGGACCGCGGCCCTACCAGAACACACACACGGTGCGGCAACGCCAGCTAATGCTAACAGCAGAGCAGCCGCTAACGGCAGCAGTTCAAAAAAAATACAGGCCGGAATATAAATAACCACGACAGAAAGAGCCAGGCCTGGAGAAAAGACCCCCAAAGCCAACATTCCCGCAGAAAAACACAGAAAGAGCGGTACCAACGCCGTGGATCAGAACCGGATTCGTCATGCAGATTAAGCGGCTCGTTATTTACAGTAAGCTTGCCGAGTAGCAGGTTCCTTGTGGGAACTGTGGGAAAGCTGGTTCCAAGGCAGCCACAACAAAACAGAAGCTCGTAAACCACAGCTCAAGCATAACGAGCCGAAATGAGTCGTCTTCTCCCATCCTGCTACATGCCAGGAAAGACCCTCAAACTTTCCTTAAACATGTTTGCTTGCTGTCCAACACCCCAGCGCAGTAAAATAATCAGATATCCTGACTCAAAAAACCTTGCAGGAGGCCAGTGTTAATGCTAAGGCTGTAAAATTCAATTCACGACTCGCACAAAGGTAATTACGTTAAAATATAGGTAATAATGATTAATGCTCAACTGACTTTTTTATTTTTTTATTTTTTCCGAGCACTTGTCCTTCACGGAGTTTGACTGGATACAAAACAAAGCCACCGGTATAGACCCGGACTGAAGAAAGCCGGTTTATAAATAACCAGCATGGTGCTCAGCGTTAGAGTGAGTTGGCTGACAGAGATGCATTTCTGCAATGACTGCCATAAATACTCTGGAATCTGCCTTCAAATGGACAATACTACCCCACGGGCAACTTGAGTGATGCTCATCCCATTGAAGCGGAAGGCTATGACACAGCTTGAGGGACAAGATCTCTCTACCAAAACCTGGAAAATTCCAAAGCCCTTCTATTTGTCTCTACTGTCAAATAATTCCCCTTAACAACATAGATAAAAAAAAAAAAACACTGCGTGAGATTATGTGACTATCTGGGATATCATAAGACAGACCACTGCTAGGATATAAGCCAAAGGTAGGTCATTACGGAATGGGACTCTAGATTGTTTCATTATGTGGGATTTCGCCCCCTCCCCCCAACCCTGGGCAGCCCCACCCATACTGCCAAGATCATTCCAGTCTGTTAAATATGGTGGAGAATGATGTGTACATTTATAAAACTGACATGAATGCCGTAATGTTCTGTATGTATGCACAAAAATTGCTTCAAATCACAGAAGAATAAAACACTGGCCTGCAATCTTCTGTACATGGTTAGCATACCGACGCTACAGCACAGGATGAGACCATTACTCATTACTTTTTCAGTCATTCTGACTATTAGAAAATGGCCTAAGTTTGGTGCAATTTTTCCAGAAAAGTGTTTGTGCTAAATAATAAATAATCCATGTCGTTATGTAGTAATCAATGTGATACAAACATTAACACTGCTGAAAACAATTAAGTGTGTGTGGGGGGGGGGGGAATGGATAAGGAGGCCGGATGCGGGATCCACATGCCTGTTTACCAAAGTGCTGCCAGGTCTTGATACATAAAAAAAAACCCGTATAACGCGACTGATTTAACAGTCAAAAATGACGAAACCGTGGCTGCTACTTCCTTAACAAATGCTTTTATTCAAAGTGACCCATACTGGCATATTTGTTTACCTTTACCTGTCATTTCATATAGATCCTTAAGCTTGAGTCCACTACATATTAGAATTTTATGTATGTGAGAATTCATTTAACCTGTACTTTTTTGCAGGGTTAAAAAGTTCAAATCCCTGGGATTTGAACTCACAACTGATCACAGATAACACATCCTGACTTGCTGAACCACACACTGCTCACTTTGTTTTGGAAGTCAGTGAAAATCCGGTTTATTCCAGTAAAGGGTGTTTTAAGGAAAATGTGAGTTTGTCTTAGAACAGTGTTTCTCAGCCCAGTCTTTAGGGACCCCCACACAGTCCACATTTTTCCTCCCTCCCAGCTCCAACACACCTGTACCAGGTGTTCTTCATTGGCTGGGAGCTGGGAGGGAGCAAAAATGTGGATTATGCAAAATCTGCATATAAAACAGCGATGACCATCAACGCTGACAGACAGGAGGCCTCAGCTGTCTTGTCACTTGGGTAACCACAACTGTACATGCATGAACAAGCCCCCATTTCTATTGGGCCCACCCCTAACACCTGCCATTCCCTATCATGGCGTACCCCTTTTTGGCAATCCCACAATCCCCCTCTCCAGGTCCCCTCTGGGCTTTGGCTCCAGCCTACACACCACATCAATGAAGAATCCAGCACATGACATGGAGGACCGGCATGGTGATGCGTGTGGCACGGGATGGGGATAAGCCCACCGCCAGAAGATAGGAGACTGGTCCACACTAACCCCGATGTAATTATTAACCTTGCCCGACATTAAAAGAGATGTGGATTGTGTCGCGGAACATTAGCCAAAAGCTAACCCGGCTTATCAGGCATGCGGTTACAACGTCCGGCCGGGGATACAGAGTTTAACAGTGGCCTTAGGGAGAATGGGAGGCAAGGAAAAAATACATCCAATGTTCTGCTTGAGCTGAACCAAAGCAGCAAGATCTCCCCACTAAAGGCCTAAACAGGCCACCAAAAGCAGGTGGAGAGCTTGTTAGGGGTTAGGCTATGAAACAAGGGAAAGGAATCTGATTTTTTAGGATTCAAGCTCAGTCATGGATCATTTGGGAAAGAAAACAGGAAGTGGAGCAGTTCTGCATCCATCCAGCTTTCAATTGCTTCCCAGGGGGGGGGAATCGTGGGGGAACCTGGAACCCAGCCCAGGCAGCAGAGTGCAGGGGTGCATCCTGGATGGGGTGCCGGACCATCAAGGCTAGCCGAACTTTGCCATGCAATCTTCACAGACAGAGTGGAGGCCGGGTTCGAACCCACAGCCATGACACCCCTTCCTGTCACAGACAATAAGCATGGCTTTTGAGGGTAATGGCCAGCCAAACTCACAGTAGCTCATACTGTAATGTATGCTCAGCATAGCAATTTCAAATGAATACTCAATGTCAATTAAACATTGAGGTGAGTTAATATTTTATATTAATAACTGTAGAAGTGATACCAAGCCTTGAAAATTATTCATGAAATAAAGTAATAATCCCTGGCTACCCTGTACTGGAAAACTGGTTGGAAGATGGATGGATGGAAGTTAAAGGCACCATTTTTTCAGCAATACAATACAATACAATACAATACTCAGGCTGCCCACTGCATTTCTTACCAATGCTTGAGTCCCTCCTGAACACGTCCCTGTCAAAGATGTAGAAGGAGAGATGGCGGAAACTCCGAGGGATTTCACAGTAAAAGTCTTCGCCGTAGAACGGACTGGAGTGGGTAAAACAAAAAATGAGGGATTATATGAAGATTACAGCTGTAAATATGACTGTTTGTGGAAAATACAAAGGGAAGAGGCATGACTTAGGTTGCTGGAGAAATTTCCCGAAGTAACTATGCTGTCACACCTTCGTGCAAAACACTTAACCCAAATTTGCATGCGAGGCACATCCAGCTGTACACATGGGTCAGAAGTGTAAAGCTTTGGAAAAAAACTTCAGCCAAGTGGATGCAACCCTGAGGATTCTCAGAAAGTTTAAAGCCAAGCTTTAATTTCAACATGGGCTCGTTTCAGCACACGCAACGTCATCTCGGCCCAGGAGGACGTCCGCACGACATGTGGACTTGGCGTGGCGCAAGCATGCTGGTCACCCAAATGTCACCTTCACCCACTTCTTCCACTGGCAGCTATCTGTTCCCTTTCACCGGATATGGGGGGGGGGGGGGGGGGGGGGGGAAGGGGGGGGGGGGGCGGGCATTGGGAAAGGAGCTGCCAGTATCAACAGGGTGGAGTCGGGTCAGTCTGATTCCAGCTAAGATGGGAACAAGCTGCAGAGAGTCCAGCACGCAAGACAGATTTGGGATTCATTCATAAAAGCTGAAAGACCAAACAAAGATGTTATCTTTTTACTTTTTGTTGCACTCTTTCTGGTACAGTGTTGAGGAACACGTTGAGGAACATCTACCAAGACCTGAGGAGCAATTAGCCGACCCAGGAGGCTACTTTCTGTATCGGGCCCTGGGAAAGCGGAGTGGGCTGGGCACTCACCACAAGGACTTCTCAACGATCTTGGTCCTGAACACTTCCTCCTGGTCCAGGTTGACAGTACAGTAGCAATCCCTCATCTTGTTGGGGCCTGGGTATGGCGGAATGTTTTTGGCTTCACCTGTGGATATACGAACGAGGGGGATCGCATGAGTGGGCAGCCAGGGGTCGCTGTGGAGAGGCAATACCCTCTCGTCCAAATGGACCAATCATAAAGATACTGGGGGGTGGGGGGGTGTTGGCGCGTATGTAGGCACGCACTATGGGGAGGGGCCCATCTGATGTGTGACGCACCCCCCCTGTTTTGGAATCTGGGCTTCGTACTCAGCCGCACCCAGGAATGTGGACGGACCGACCAACCGACGGTCGAGACGAATAAACAGGATGTCGAGAGATGGTAGGCTCTCACGCCCTCGTGGACCACCGATCGGAGAGAACAGACCAGCGGGTGCGGCAACAGTCCGCAGAAACCGCATTAACATACGTGCGCTCAGTTGCAGGTTCCGGGCGCTACCGCCACGCAAGCGGTCCCGCACAGATAGAGATGCAGGTGCCGTCGGTCCCGCGGAGGCGGACAAACCCACAGCACGTCAGGGGGCCTCTCTGACGCTGACAGACAACCACAGCACTGTCTCCCGCCATACCCTGCTGCGTGTACTGGGACTCACCCAAGTCCGCCATTTGACAAACAATATTTTATTCATTATATGCCAGAATAGTATATTTTTTCCCAGTGGAAAAAAAAAACATCATGCCTTTATATAACTCTGACGTGTACAGTGTTGAAATATGAAACATATTATATGCACACAATGCCGGTCAACCCATTAGGCAACAAAGTAAAACGGGAGGGGGAAGGGGGGGTAGCGGTGAAGCTTGCATAGGCCAGTGGGTTTCAATCAATCTCATGCTTGGAAGACCCTCTGCCAGAATGTTTTCATTCCAACCCACACCGCTTTCAACCTGCCACGTTCATTATTAGCCTATTATGGAGCACCTGAGCCTGATTAAGGGAGGGTTGGGATGGAATCGTTCTGGCAGGGGGGGGGGCGCCAGGAACAGGATTGAATGCCACTGACCAAGGGCACCACATGGGCTTCGACCAATACTTCACCAGTGTTATAAAATGCAAGCGAGATTTGCTAAGTGGTTACAATCCCTTTTCCAAAAAAGTTGCGATGCTGCGTAAAATAGAAACGGAATGCAATCGTTTGTAAATCATACAAATCCATGTTTAATTGAAAACAGAACAAAAAAATAATATCAGATGCTGAAGCTGAGAAATTTCATTGTTTGACAAATATATGGTCAATCTGAATTTAATACCAGCAACCATTTCAAAAGAGTTGGGACAACAAAAGATCGGAAAAGTTGCGTAATGCAAAAACAAAATACCTGGGTGAATATCTCACAACTAATTAGGTTAATCGGCAACAGGTTAGTAAGATGATTGGATATAAAAAGAGCCCCCCAGAGAGACAAAGTCTCTATGCAGTGAGGATGGGGGGAGGTTCACCGCTCTGTGACAGATCAACACGGGCAAATAGTGCAAGAAACATAAGAATAATGTTCCTCGACGTAATACTGCAAAGTATTTGGGAATTTAATCATCTACGGTACATAATATCATTCAAAGATTCTGAGAAACCTGCGATAGCTGTGATCTTCACATTAAAAACAGACATGACACGATTCTACAGTAGAAATCACACATTGACTTGGGAACATTTCCGAAAACCGGTGTCTGAACACAGTTCGTCGCTTCACCCACAAATGCAGGATGAAACTCTACCATTCAAAAAAGAAACCTAAATATGACTCAGAAACGCCACCGACACCCGAGCTCATTTAAGGTGGGCTGAGGCAAAATGTAAAACTGTCCTGTGGTCTGACAATTTCAAATTCTTTGTGTAAATCATGGATGTCGCATCCTCCGGACTAAAGAGGAAAAGGACCGTCCAGTATGTTATCAGCGGACACTTCAAAAGCCAGCATCCGTGACGGTATGGGGGTGCATTAGTGCCCATGGCTTGGGCAGCTGGCATGTCTGGGAAGGCACCATTAATGCTGAACGATATATACAGGTTTTGGAGCAACATGTGCTGCCGTCCAGACAGAGAAGGCAAGATCAGAGAAGGCAAGATCACTTACAGAACTCCAGCAACTGGTCTCCTCAGTCCCCAAACATTTACAGAGTGTTGTTAAAAGAAGAGGTGATGCAACACCAGTGGTCAACACGCCCCTGTCCCAACTTTTTTGCAACATGTCGATGGCATCAAATTCATAGAGCATGAATTTGTCATAAAACAATGAAGTTCCAACATTTGATATATTTTTGATAGTTTTGTTCTATTTTCAATTAATGAATGAGTTAATATGATTTGTAGATCTTTGCATTCTGTTTTTATTCACATTTTACACAGCATTTTTGGAAACAGGGTTGTACTTGGTTACTGAAAAACACTCTGAACACCAGGAAGAGAATTTGATGTTCGTGGGAGCTGTGAGAAGGTATATAAGCATCCCTCACAGAGAGTCTGCATCTCACCCAACCTCTGTTGCATCAGGGTGGAGAAGGTGTCATCTAAGGATCCTCAGTCTTGCTCCTCACATCCACTGCGCTCCTCTAGGATTATAGAGCCCTACCGTGCGCATCTGTACCTCTGTCATTCTGGCCTGCTGCTCGTATTCCTCTCATTCGCCTCTCCCGCAATTCCTACCCTTCTGATCTCGGGCTGAAATGATTCGTTTAACTGCTAGTTCTGTTCCGCCGGGAGCCGTTCAAAACAGGCGGTGACCTACTTTCTGTTTGTTGTCTTGTTTGGAAGATGAGCGCCCTGTCTGTGCCGTTTTACTGCCTGTCGGTGATCTGCGCGTGAGGAACACCACAGCGTGGGGGATGGGGGTTTGTGCTTGTCTACACGTGAGTGGAGAGTCACTCGGGGTAATAGAGCTGAGAATAGGCAACGTGCGGCTGATGAATGTGCTCCTTCAGCTTCGCCCTGTCAAGGTGAGAGCTCCTTCTGTGCGTGCTGAGGATGACAGCACCCTGCCTACGCCTGTTTGCACCAGCACCTACTGCCTCCGCATGTCAACAATCCCCTTTCATCAGTCCCCCCCCCATTCCCCCCCCCCCCACCCCCCACACACCCCCACCACCACAAACCCCAGACCAAAATCACCCTCATCCACATGCTTAAGAACCACTAGCCTAAGACTCTAAATATTGACACCAAAACACTAGCTTGAGGTATAGAAAACACTTCGGTCTCTATGGCACCCAAAACACTGACGCATGATCGCAGACAATGGCAACATGGTGAAGGCTGAGGAACTGGAGATCCTTGGTTGAGTCCTACTCATGCCCATGTAGGAAGTCCAACACTGACATCAACCTGGCCAGCTCTGCATCTGTGGCACCCAGACATGTATGTAGGACCCACACTGTGAGCTGAGTTGACATCTAGCCGAGTCGAGACGCCAGATTCGAGCCAGGTGGTCTTTGCTGGGAGAGACCGAGATAAAGGAGGCCTATTTCGCAGAGTCAGGTACGGGTCAGACCACATCACAGACCCAAGCAGGTCCACAGCTGCCTGTCATTACGGCACCGAAAATAACACTCATTTCAAACCTGCACCGCCGACAAGCCAAACCGTGCCTCTCGACTGACTGAAAGCGCGAAAGAGGATGACGGGCCACTGTAAGTGCCACACCTCGGTGACGTTTCCATGGCAACAAGGTTCGTTAAAGAAACTGCAGTGATAAGCTGAGCCACACCTGCTCCGTTGCTTGACGAGCTATTTTCAGTAAGTGTCCTGTACCCCACCCTCTGGTCAGTTTCGCTCTTGCTTTCCTTGTCACTGCTTCCAGCTGCTTCTCCAGTTCGTCTTCTCTCTATCGCTCCATTTTGATGCAGGCATTGCTTCCTGGGCATTTTTTTTCTCCCTGGTTCTGACAACATGTCTTCCCAAGATATGAAGTGCAGCTCTGACGCAGACTAATGAAAAGAGTCTCTCTAGGTTCCTCTTGACATGAGCTCCAAAGCATCTGGATCCATTCTCTGCTGATGCTCATTCTCCCATTTTTACCATCCTGTCATGGACCACTGCTAGAGATATGATGTGAGAGATATGAGTTTGCATCACTGCTACTATGACCTGGGCACCACACCATCACATATAGTCTACCTGCAAACTCCTCAGGATCTCAATATTACCAGAAAACAAAACAAATTTACAATAGCCTGTCATACCAAAGTGATACCATCCATCCATCCATCCTTCACTGTAACCGCTTAATCCCAACCGGGGTTACGGGGGGGGGGGACCGGAGCCTATCCCGAGAACAATGGGCAGGAAACAACCCTGGGCAGGCGCCAATACACCACAGGGTTCACCCAAAGTGATACCAAACTTTCAAAACGAAATCTCATTGTACTTGTACAATGACAATAAAGCATCTTCATCTTTAACTAGATGCCTCCTCAGTAATTCTTGCTCACCTCCTAACTGAACACAGATGCTCAGATTTACAGTTTTTAGTCAAATTTGTAAGAAACACGGAATCTGAAATCATCAACAGCTAGTCATTATCTATTTAGCAGATGTGTCTTAGCCAAAGTGACACCAATATTTTGAGGAAACGGGAAGTAGTGGCATCCCTGGGGCCTTGCTCTGGGAATTCGACCGTGGGATTTGAGCCAGTGCCCTTGTGGTAAGAGACACAGTCATGTTGAGCCACACACCATCCCTAAACGCTAAACCCAGAAAACTTCTGGGTTTCCTAGCCATTTCCTAGCCATTCCCATGTTTTAAGTAAGTCCTCTGAACCCTTTTCCTTCCCTCCCCCAACCCCAGCCAGGGACGGCCAATCGCCCCTTTTTTCATTGTGTTGTCCCACTGCACAAGCTGTGGTGGTGGCTGGAGGGGGGGCATCCACTCCTCATCACTCTACAGACCGTAAAGCTTTGCTAAGAATCATAACATAGCGGGCGGAAAGCTCTACTCCTGCCCCTTCAAGCAGGCAGTCTTTGACAGGCCCTGCCATACCTCTGAGGAGGCCGTCGGAGCAAAGTTTTGTTGACCGAATCTTGAAAGGACTGATGATTCTGGTTTCTCAGCT